CATGTTTTGAAGATCGATAAGCTAAAAGGAATGAAGGGATCCATCGATCCCAATCTCTCTGATGATCTGAAACAAACTTGGCCAAATAATTTAAGATTGTTCTTTGTTGACGTTCAACTTGTCCGTCAGATTGAGGATGCAAAGTTGTTGTCCTAGTTTTCCTTGTTCCCAACAAACGTAAAAGTTCTTGAAATAATTTTGATTCAAAACATTTTCCTTGATCAGTATGAATTTCAAGAGGAACCCCATGGCAAGAAACTACTTGATCAACAAAAACTTCCGCCACTGTAGAAGCCTTAATGTTTTTAAGCGAAACAGCTTCCACCCATTTAGAGAAACAATCTACCATAACTAACAAATATTTATTTCCTTTTTGACTTAACGGAAATGGACCTAGAATATCCATTTGAACCCTATCACATGGCGATCCTACATTAAAAATTTGAAGGGGAGATCTCCCTTTGCCAGTAGGACCCGCTTTTGCAATACAGACCTCACAAGTTTGACACCAATCCTCAACATCCCTTTTGCAAGAAGCCCAATAAAACCCACAGCGAATTTTCGCCAAAGTTTTGTTTATTCCAAAATGGCCACCAGAGGGAGAATCGTGAGCTTCTTTTAGAATTTCATTAATTCTTCTCTTAAGAACAATAATCTGAAAAATTCATTTGTTAGAAGACGTTGATTCCCATTTTCTACATAAAACTCCATTACGAACTATCATAGCATCCCATTGATTCCAATAAATTCGTGCGGAAAGACCCTCAGAAATTACCTTCTGCCAGGAAGGACGACAATTTTCTTCTTTTCTACAAAGAAAAATAGAAACCACCTGATCTTTTCGTTGGTCATTTCTCCAATTTTCTTGTTTTTCCCCAAGAACAATTCGTCCAACTTTCTGAGTTTCTTCAGAAACCTTTTTAATTTCAACTTCCTTATAATAATTACAAAATAAGGGTCGTCGCATGGGCGACGAGAAAGACCGTCAGCATTACAATGAGAATTTCCTTTTCGATAATGAACTTCAAAATTATACTGCTGTAGTCTCTCCAACCATCTTGCCAACTGTCCTTCA